ACAGTCCTAAGGGGTGGACAGGCACCTGGGCAGAATCTGTGTAAGGTTGGCTCAAGCCGTCTGGACCAGAGAGCCAGGTGGCTTCCTCTTGCATATTCTCAAAGCAGGCTTGCAGTCAGTTAAAGCCTGGGTTTCCTCTCTGCAGGTGCTGCCCCTTACCTGAAGACCAAGTTCATCTGTGTGACCCCGTAAGTGGCTTTCCTTCCCAGTTTACAGTCATTTCTAGTGCCCTCAGTTGTCCCCAGGACAGGGAGGACGCGGGGTGAGAGCTCCCGTGAAGGGCTGGACGTTCCTGGGCTGTTTAGTGCTCAGAGTGACCTTGTGTGTTTAAAAAGCTTGAGTTTTATTTTTTTTCTGTTGGAGACCAGAGTTTGATGGCTTGTGTGTGTGTGTTTTGTTCTTTTTTTTTCCCCCTCCATTGTGTCTTGTCAACCCGGTCCTTCCCCCTCCCGCCGCCCCCCCTTCCTACAGAACGACCTGCAGCAATACCATTGACCTGCCGATGTCCCCCCGCACTTTAGATTCATTGATGCAGTTTGGAAATAATGGTGAAGGTGCTGAGCCCTCGGCAGGAGGGCAGTTTGGTGAGTGTTTGGAGAATCAGGTCCCTTTGTCTGATGCCTGCCGGTACAGAACCAGAGCCGGCCATCCGCACTGGTTGGCTGGTTGGAGGCGGCTTTAGAGCCATGCTCTTCTATGGAAATGAATGGCACACGCGTGCCGTTTCCCAATAGCCACAGTCAAAACAGTAAAAAATGGCAAGTGACATTAGTGCCTTCTGTAAGCAGCGCACTATCACTTTAGCGTCTGAGAAGTCATTAAACTATTTCTCCCTCTTCCCTCTCCTTCTACTGAGCCTTTGAAATGTGGTGGCTTTGACACCTTGATTTAGACTAGTTTCTGGTGCTTAGTGGTCATGTGCGGCGAAGGCCGCCCCTACCGGCGCAGCCTCTGACCTTTGTAATAGAGAGCCAGGCCGAAGAGGTGACTGAGCTGTTCTGCAGGACAAGGCCCTGTAAGGAGCAGGAAAGTCTGGCTTTTCTGATCTTGCCCAGGCCTGAAGGGATAGGAGACTGGCTAACGCCAGTGCCTGAGCCCCCTGGCAGAGGGATGGAGGCTTGTGAGAAGCCGGCTGCAGTCAGGTAGCTGAACTGGCGTTGTCTCTCTGTCCCTGCAGAGTCACTCACGTTTGAAATGGACTCCTCCCCCATGTGAGGAGCTGCAGATGGATGCTGCAGAGATGGCTGAGGCACCTGCCCCGCGTTCCACCCTTACGCAGTCAAACCCCAGATCATCTGAAACTCCTAACTTTGTGGTTCCAGATTTTTTTTTTTTAAATCTCCTACTTCTGCTATCTTTGAACAATCTGGGCACTTTTTTAAAATAGAGAACCGAGTGAGAGTGGGTGACACGCGCTTATGTGAAGAGGAGAGTGCTCTCGAGTCTGCCAAGGGGGATGTGAGAACGGGAGGCTGCAGGGAGAAGGGAAATGCCTGTGTTCGGTGCCCTGCCCTCCTTTCTTAGCAGCTCAGCTCCGCTGTTGTCATTGTTTGTTGTTAGACAAGTGCCTCCTGGTGCCCATGGCATCCTTCTGCCCGTTTCTGTGAGCTGGTACCCTGGGCTGCCTGCAGCTGAGGACTCCTGGTATCGCACTTTTAACCTTGCTGATGTCCAAATAGATGACAGGACTAAGCCCATCGGTTTCTTTTTAAATTAAAAAAAAAAATAATGAGAAGAAGAATTAAAGGGCAAATCACCCTGAAACAGCATAGCCTTTCTGTATCAGAGATTCACAGCCTCTTTGGTGCTTTAAGCATAGAAACCCTGAAATGGTCTCAGATGAAATCTGCAAAAGCCATCTGAGGCTGTGGCTCGGCCTCTGGTTTGAACACGAAGGTTAAAGCGAACCTAGATAGCCCAGACTTTTCATCAACTGGGTTTTATTTACCCAGGAGTTTGCTCGCCTGTTGATGAGGCTAGGCCAAGGGCACTGAAAACCTCTGTCGCCTGCCCTCCCCCAAGACTCCGCACCCTGTTTCAGGGTCAGCCTGTCCTGTGGGTGCCTTACTGGGCCTAGGATCAACCTGGCTTCCTTTCCCACTTGGCATTGCTTGTGGTATGTCCCCTTCCCATGTCCAAAGGCCCCTGTCCTGCTTGCATTGGGAATCCTGGTCTCAGGACCTTGTGACCAGAGAGGCTGAGCTACAGGGTTGAATCTGATTTAGACTACAGGTCCTCAGCAACGCTCAGGGATTATGGCCCTTATTCTATTCACTTGGTTCCCAGGGTACCTGTAACCACAGGGCAAAAGCTGACCATTAAGGCTCCAGGTCTGCCCTCCTATGGGGGTTGTAGCCTTGGCCTCCCCTGAGACTGGCGATTGTCTGCTCCCCAATGAAGCCCCCAGGTGAGGTGGAACGGTGCCTGTACCTACCGTGGCCTTCTGTCACCTGCTTGCCTCAGTCACTCAGTAAACCTCCTCTGACACAGGGGCATGGCTAGATTCAGCGACTCAGAGACACCATGCTCAGCTGACCAGTGTCTGGAATTCTGTTTGTTTTACTCAAATTAGCCAGTGTCTGAATTAAGGGGGTGAGGCCATTGTCTCTAAGACAGACTGCTCGCCCTGGCTTCCCCTGGCCTTCCGCTTTGAGCCAGTCACTGCCCTCCCTTCCCCAGCAGCATTCTTTAGTACACAGTAAGCTGAACTCATAAACTGAAGCGGTATTTAGGAAGGCAAGGCTTGGGCGTACTGACAACTTTAGATCTTGGGGACCCAGGGAGCAAGGGCTTGGTCTTCTCTGGGGCAGGTGTTGTCAAGGCCCCAGCTCTGAGAAGTTACCTGGGTGACAGCTCCAAGGACAGCAGAAACTTGCTCTGCGGAGTCCTCAGAACTGCCCACTTCCCCCCTTGTCCCTGCCAGTCCCCAGCCTAAGCTGACCATGCCTGCAGATTGCTTCACCTCTCTGTACAGTGGTTTGTACTCTACCCTGGCCACTGCATTCAAATTCCAATGTATACTTTCTAGTGTAAAAATTTATATTATTGTGGGTTGTTTTGTTGTTGTTGTTTGTTTGTTTGTTTTGTATATTGCTGTAACTACTTTAACTTCCAGAAATAAAGATTATATAGGAACTGTCTGGTGGCAGTGGGGCCTGGCTGGCTGGTGGGACTGCCTTTGTCCGGCGAAGCTGCTCTAGGAGCACAGTCCAGTATCAAGGGGATAGCAGCCCAGTTCCGGGGCTGAGCTTTTGCCTGCTCCTCATTGCCGAGGCAATGCAGCACCCCCCCCCCCCATCTTATATCAGCTGCCATCCTTCAAAGGAGGCAGCCCAGGAGCCAAGGGTCATAGTCCAGTGGCAAGAACATGTCAGAGTGGCCTCCTCCCTCTGCCTCCCAAAGCTTCTGTGTTTGTTCTAGAGTCAGATAAGCTGCCTAATGGAGGGCGGGAAGGTTGGGGTGTAGACCCAGGCCTCTTGTTCCACAGTTGGCCCATTATCGCTTTCTCTTCAGTTCCATCAGTGGGGACAACTTGCAGACACTTCCCTGGCTGGTGGCTGCAGGGCCCCTGGGCAGTCAGCAGTGATAACTCAGAGAAAGGCCACAGACACGGTTCCTGCTCTCAGCATCTCCCCACCTACTCCACTTACTGCACCGCTGTACCTTGGAGCCCAGCCCACAGTGCCTCTTGAGAGAAACCAGCACCCCCCTACAGAGATGGAAGCTGAGATTAGCGGGTGGTGCGGGGGCAGACCCTGCTTCCCACCCCCAGCCTCCCTGGGCCCCTGGGCCTCACCAGGGCAGGCTGTGAACTGAGCTCCTGCACCCAGCCTGGCTTTGAGCTCTGAGGTAACCTGTCGTACAGCTTCTTGTGCCCCAACTCTTAACCCAAAGGAGTGTGCTCCTGAGTCCAAGGCCCCAACCACGGGCTCTGGACTAATTTGCACATGGGTGCTGAGATCCAGTTAGGGTGAGCCAGGCTTCTCTCTGTCGTGGTCAGTGTCCGTTATGCTCAGGCCACCACAGCAGTTGGAGGGTGCCACCTGCTGGACTCCAGGAAGAGGCCAGGGGAGGATGGGCTATTGTCCAGACTCTTTACTGCCGCTGGCCACAGAAAAGTGGGCGATCACTTTGGCACTGTCCTCAGTGATCTTTTAGTGGCATCCTGAACTGTAGCTCTGCTCTTCCCATGCTTCCCTCCCCTAGTTATTCTTGCACCTTCTTTCCCCAAGTCCTTGAGCCCCTGCTTTCCTGGCATGCTTCCTCAAACACACATGCGCGTGCGCGCGCGCACACATACACACACACACACACACACACACAGTTCTTTAGCTTTCTGACACAATTCTAGGGCAACAGCACCTTTGAGATCACAGCAAAGGGAGCAGAGGATACTTATAGCTAAACTGGGAATGGACCGACTTCAAAGTCCATCACTCTACCCATCAGTAGCCCACTAAAACAGGAGGCAGACTGGTGAATCTACCAAAACAACAACAAAAAAAACTTTATTCAAAAACACTGTTTACATAAATGTAAGGTCTATGTACAAAGTATAAAAAGAATCGCTCTGCTCCTCCTCTGATTCTTTCAGAGAGCCTGAAACCAGGCTCCTAGTCAGCCAGCCCTGAGTGCCTTGTCAGAGCCTCAGAGGGAGGAGCCGGTGAGAGGCCTTCTTAGACCACAGCCCATGATGCAACAGTGCAGGGCCTGTTCTGGGTTCTGCCTCCCACCAGAGGTACCCACCGAGAGAGAGAGAGAGAGAGAGAGAGAGAGAGAGAGAGAGAGAGAGAG